TATAGCAAAAATATAAGAAATGCACATCGAAATTCAATTTAAGAAAGCAAGGAAAAATCATTAATACAGGTTGGGAAAGAAAAATTTATCATGGCAATGACCAATAAGTTAATTTTTAAGTGAAGCGACTTTGCAGCATCAGTTCTGATGTTAATGGTTAGGCACAAACAGACAACATGTTGAGTCTTGGATGGCAAGTAGTAGTGCAAAATGCTAAAACACAGGCCCATAAATATGCACAGAGATCCTCAATTTGTTATCAGCTAACTAACTAGTTGTTATCAACAGAAACAAACATCCTGTCTCGAAAAATGATACTACGCACTAAAGCTATGTTTCATCATGTGGCAGGCATGTTGTTTACCAATGTGCAACTACTATTGTGTGGATGTTGATGAGCGTTGTTTACTAGTGTGAAGTTAATAATGTGTCGTCATAAACATCCGCTTCTTGTATTAAACGGACTGAACGGAATGTGACTCCATCAAGCACTATAAAGTGAGTTTCCAGCTGAGGAAAATAAGATGAGATTATTAAATAATACAAGACAAGTTCTCCACACCAAGCATGGGTTGCAATAAAATAGGACATGAATAAGATTATAAGAGACCACACTTTCCTAATGTGTTGTGCTGCTAGCCACAAAACCAAGTTTACTAGATCTCACTTACGTCAACATGTAGATGGATCGCTCTCAAACATAAGGGAAGACCGTGAGAGTCAAACTATCGTCACGAATGTCGAGGTTCTCCAGCTTGAGCGTCTCGTGATCGTAAAGCCATAGGTAACCCTGCGAGTCCTGAAAAAACACTTTATCATTCTTGTAGAGGCCGATGACCGTCATAAAAACAACACGAGTAGGAGTACATGTAGGAGGGACTTCGTAAGTGGATACAAGGGACCAGCAGCGGTGCTTCCATACCCAAATCTCAAAAGTAAAAGAGGCACTGTTCTTCTTGTTGTTCTTCCTCTGCGTTTGCTGTCGTCTTGGATAACCAATATTCATTCTTTTCTTATCCTGTACGTGATCATCAAAAACAATAGCAGCAAGATGCCCATGAAACTCAGCAAGAGAAACACACAAAATCGTGATGTCTCTGACAATTTTGCTACCGGACGGCATAGGGATGAGAGCAGGGGGAAACTCCTCCTTAGCAAAGTCGAACGAAATAATAGCAACATCATTTGTGGTGGAATGCTGTGCCATCCAATAATAAAAGCCATTGATGAAAAGCGACGGGTACTGATAGACTATCCACACAAGATCATGGGGATACGGGATTTGATTCCAAGTTTCAAGCGAAAACACCTTCGCGTAGGCCTTGTTGTCGGAATGAAAATTCTCCAACGTGCGATATCTCACCACCACCTTATAGTCCCCAGGTGCACAAGGATCAAACCCAATACCGAAACCCAAGGCAATGCTGGTTGGGCGAGGCAGGCGTGGCTCCGACTCAAAAGAAGGAAGGGTTACAAGCACGTCTGTCCTAGGGTCCCACAGAAGCAGACGATCCGAAGTTACGTCACATGACCACAGCATCCATGTGTTGCAACTCGCTTCGACGTGATATTTGGCATTCCTACAATCGAGATCGTAGTTTTCAGCTTTGAGTCGAGACAAATCTGGAAGATGTTTATCATCACCTTGTAGAACTTTGAACGAGTTGTTTTCCGTTGAGATCACAAAGAAAATGCGGGTCGAGGCGACTACACACTGCACCATAAGCATCAGACTGTCGTTAGGTTTCAAACTGCGAGTAAGTGCCCGAATAGTAGCAGGAACACCATCGACACTAGTGGTTGCGTTGCCAGACCAGAGATTTCTTGAGGAGGATTTGAAGCTGGATTCGGCGTTGGCAACATAAGGGAAGACCTCCAACATACCCGGAGACTTGTCACGGATACCGAGATTCACCTTCACCAATCCGCGCGATTCACAGTCGTAAACCAGTAGGTCACCATAGGAGTCGGAAAGAAAGAGTTTACAGTTCTTGTAGAGGCCCAAAACTTTAACAACATAAGCATCATCTGAAGCAGGGATTTCCCCTGTGAACACCAGAGACCACGTGGCGGTTTCTTTCCACACCCAAATCTCAAAAACAAAAGGTGCAACAGGATCAATGGTCGTCAGAAATTCACGATCCTCGATATAGAAAACAACAGCAGCAAGCGACGCATCATACTCACCAGGATAAACAGTGCCGTAGTAGAGGAGGTCGAGATTATTGCTCTCGGGCTTGGGTATCAGAGGCCCAAACTTCTCCCCAGCAAAGTCGAACGAAACAAAGCTACCCTCATCAGTTGCCCAATAATAAAAGCCATTGATGTAAAGAGAAGGTTGTAGAACGGGTCCAATTTGAAAGGGGTCGTGAGGACAGTAAATTTCCTTCCACGAATCACTTCCGGCGGACAACGACAACAGCTCAACGTAGAGCTTCCCAAACTCATCGTCACTTCTTAATTTATCCATCACACGACATCTCAACACCTTATAGGTGTCCCCTGCAGGATCGTACCCGAGCCCATAAGCCCAAGGCTCCGACAGACGTTCCGAACAAAGAGCAAAAAAGGGAAGAGATGCATTCTCGCCGGTGGTGGGGTTCCACAGAGAGTCAAATGGAATCTCAGGAATACTTGAACTATACAGTATCCATGAGTTGCAAGTAGCATAAACATCAAAACGGGGGGGCCTGATACAGGGATCAAAGTTATCTTCTTTGAGTAGAGACAAGTTTGAAAGATTACCATCATCAAGCATTTTGAAGGAGTTGTTTTGGGTTGAGATTACTGAACATTCCAGGGTTGCGCCGTGTAAATACCGCACCAGAAGCATCACATCGTCGTTGTTGCTCTGTGGCTGACCTTTATCGGGAATTAGATGTGTGGTGGTGTTTGAGACAATTCCGATATCTGCCATTGCCAACAATCCTCAACTACTTTGGACTCCTATATTAAATTAATCAACCAATCAATCAATTTTGCAAAATCTTTATCAAATTTAGCCACAGGTTGTTGCTATAAAGAAAAGTTCAAATAGCCAAAGATTTCGCCATCAATACCTGAATTATAGAGAGCTGAGGGACGTCAGGACTGAAGCGGGGCCCCCCCGGTGATTAGACGTCGCTCAATTTGGATTTTTGGGTAGGGTTTCGAAGTTGATGAGTTGTACCTTATATCGAATTTCTGGGGTAGGATTTCGGAGTTCATATATCTTCGAAACATTGATACCAGTGGAGTGCGGAGTACAAAATATTTTATTATTTAAATATTAATAAATTATTTAGGACACTATACAACACACTATTCAATCCAATAATAATATAAAATTTATTTAGTTACTATAATTTTTTTTTTATTTTTATTAATTTTGTTGTAGGTCTTGACTATTTAATATATAAATTTTAGTATTTCTAAGTTTATCAAATATTATAAATTTATAAAATTATTTGATATTTGCATACAAATTACTTAAATGTATTTATAAAATTGTCGATTATCTTAGTCTTATTTAATAATTTATAATTTTTATATTGTTCGATAATTGGCCAACGTGTATTTATTTTCTTTTATCATAATTTTAAGTGTAGGAAATGTAAAAATGTTTGATAATTATATTTTAATTTTTTTAACTTTAATCCTTATACAACACAAAATTTTCAAGGTTTAATATTTTATTCTTATTTTTATATTTTTTTATATTTATTTCTTTAATTCATTTTTTCACCCCATATAATTAGGTAATTAGTATCCATTTGAAGATTTAGATATATTATATACTAGTACGATACCCATGTACTACACATATACATAAATATATTAATATTTATATAATAAAAAATTAAAATTATTTATATTTTATTTTAAAATTATGTATAATGAATATACAACAATAATAAAAACTAACAAAGTGATAACTAATTAAATATGCGCCTGGATTTTTACACTAAATTTTTCAAAAGTGATATTTTTTAACTATATTTTTAGAATTATATATGTCTAAAACATATATTATTTACAACTCTCACTAAAAGGAAAAAATTCACCGCCTAAAAAACCATGCCAATTATGGCGTATATTAAATATTAATAATATTTTTTATGTTCTTATATATAATAGTATAATCTATGATTGATATACTTATTTCATTCATTGTAAAATAACCGTTAATATATACTTTTTTTATAATTAAAATATGTTAAAATTTAACATATTACAAAGATTATCAATAAATAATACTCACAAAAGTATTTTCCACCTTGTCTTCTCTTACTCACACCTTATTACAACATATTATTTTAATTCCTAAATAAGTGTTGATAAATTTAAAAAATTGTGGCAAATATTATAAACTATCACTTATTTTAAAAGAATGTGGTGTATATTATTAGAAAGTTACAAAATTTATTAATTTTTAATTACATTAAAATTATGACAATATTTTTTATACGAATGTGTATCATAATTATTTTGAATTTTATTTCTAATATAATAATTCATATGACAATTCGACATCAATTGATTTATCATTATAATTTATATTAATGTACATTATAAAATTTTAATTTTTACAGTAATAATTTGCATCATTTTGCGACAGACATCTTGTTGATTTATTTTTATAATTTATAACAATGTACTTTATAAATATTTTGTTTTTTCTTTCCAAGTTATTAATTTTCATGGATAGTTAGACATATTATTTGTTGGTTTTGTCAATAATTTCTAATAATATATGTTATGTAGGATTTCAATTAAACTCAAAATCTCACTAACAACTAACCATACCACTTTTTTCAAAATTAACATACCAAACTAAAAATCCAAATAAATTCACAACATTTTATGTAGTAGGGTTTCGATTATGGTGGTTGGTATGAGGTGGAGCCTATCAGGCGGTATTTCTCTGTCGGATTTCTCTCCATTGAAGTAGGATTCACAAGAACAAAAAGGACATCATAAATTTGCAAACTAAAAGTTGTTAAGATCCCAAAAAANAGTGAAGACTCTTCGAGTTAACATTATCTGCAAATAACTATGTTCTAAACCAGAAACCCACAATCTGTCATTATTCAGTAGTCAACAGCATATTCATACAGGCACAGAAAGCTAGTACAAAACCAGCCTTTTTGGACTTTCTCAAACACCTTCAAGACTATGAATATTAAACCAAAGTAACTTAAAGAGTCTGATGTTCACTGCATCATAAACTCCTTTTCTTTCTTCATGATCTGATAAAATAAAGTTTGCTTCTTCATGGCTTTACCTTTTTACAGCTGCCTTTTCCAGAAGGTGAATCCTTAGCAAGGAAAGGTTCATTCATCGTCTTTTTCGGGTGCAGTGAAGGCTTTCATACGAGCTTCTCTCTCTTTTAAATGCTCCAGCAGTCGAACGGCTTCAACAAGCTCCTCTTGCGCACTTTGTATGTGACCGTTACTGACATAAATGAGGGGATTTAACAACCATAAAAACAAGATTATATTTTTTGTCGATGATTTTCTTGTACATTTTATGAGATTCCAAAAACCCACATTCTAAACATCAAGAGGGAATTAGGACATTAGTCATGTTTGAAGCATTAATTTTACCTCACTTCACCGGAAAAAGAATAAAGCTTATGTCCTAGTCAATATTTCTTTTCTAAAGTCGAAATAAAAATTTCTATTGAACGGATTTTGCTTCAGTACTCAGTAGGTAAGAATATAATCTCGGTTTTTTCCCAGTCTCATCTATAGCCCCAGTTTGAAATTGTTCAACAAATAGTAATTTATTAATTCCAAGCTTCTCAGAATAAAGACTTCACGTTTTCCATATCAAAATTCCGTACGAATGACTCAAAAAACCACAAGAAGAATAACAAGAGGAAAAAAAAAAGAATTAAAGAATAAAGAAAAATCAAAACCGCCACTCTTAAAACCAACAAATTGGCCATAGTTTCTCTACCACCCTAAAAACACAGAATACTAAATCAAATAATTCCATAGCTTACGAGGAAAGGTATGCCTATCATAACTCCTTTTCTTTTTCTTCATCTTGTAAAATATGCTTTACGGCGTTACCTTTCTAAAGCCGATGAATTCTTTGCCTGGAAAAGTTCTTCACCTTTGGGTATAGGGAAATCTTTTAGAAGAGCTTCAGAAATTTGAGCGCTAGCCTTCTCTTTCAGTTGCCCAAGCATTTGAACAGCTTCATCGAGCTCATCTTGTACACTTGGTCCATGTCTCTCCAAACCTTCAACTGCATCCTCTTGAAAGTTAATCGCTAGTGGGTAGCTGACAAATCTAAGACAGAGTTAATCAGGTAGTATATTTAGTATTTACATATGACCATCCCAGAAAGAACAAAAAATGGGGAGAATCACTAACAAGTACAAAAACTGTTAGTAATCTTTTTTTTTTTTTTTCCATATAGATAAATCATAAACGGCTTTGCTATCACATTTCAACTGATGGATATAAGAGACCCTTTTAACGAAGTATTGGTGTATAGTTTGTACACTTAAGTTTTTACAATCCACTTCCTTAAACATCTAGAGGAATACAGACTGTGATATAATGAAGACCAAAAACCAATTTTGAAGCTCTAACTTACTTCACTTCACCAGAAAATAATACAGCTTTTGCCCGAGATCATTTCTCTTTTTAAAACTAAGACAGAAATTCTACCAACATATTCGGCAAACTGGCCACAGATCATACTACTGAAATATATGGTTTATCATTTTACCATGTTAATTTTTCCTAGAGAGTAACTCAAAACCAGACCAAAAAGAATTAAAAAAAGAAAAAAAAATAAAAACCATCACCTTTAAGACCAACTAATGCACTCTAATTTTCAGCATCGAAGAAACAAAGCCATCTAAGCAAGCAATAAACCAGAGATCCAAACCAAGGTGCAAATTATTTCTTGTAGATTTTCATTCACCTTCCAATAGCCACATAAGCTTTCGAGAGATTCTGACACGCTTCAATCGAGTCCACATGATGAGGTCCAAGCGCAACATCCACAATCTCCTTGGCATACGCAAATACCTGTGCTGCTGACTGTGGCCTGTCCAGCTCCAAATAAGCCGCCCCAAGATTATTATACACATAACCCACCCCATAATGGTTCGAACCAAAACTCTCCTTCAATCTCTCTGCAGCATCTTCCAGAACTGAGACAGCCTGCTCGACTCTCCCTGTCAGCAAAAGCAGCCAACCGATCCTAGCCAACACGCTCCCAACCGAGTGCTGCTCCTGCAGAAGCTTCTCGAGCATTGCTAGTGTTTTCCTCAACAGAGATATCGCAGTCTCAAATTCATTCATGGTCTAGTAAAGCGTAGAGATTTCAGTAAAAGCTTCCGCCACAACATCAGGGGAAGACCTTATCTTCTTGTCACAAATCCCACATGCAATATCTAGGCACTTCTTAGCATCCGGAAAGTTCTCCTGATTACAGAGAGCTTTCGCCATGGCAGCAAATACCATAGCACGATCCTCGCTTTCCTTTTCAGTCTGCTGCACGATCCCTTTCAAGATGTTAAAGGCTTCCTCGTGCCTTCCCAAAGCAATCTGCATGTTTGCAGCATCGATTTCTACACGAAGCAAATCCGAGTCACGTCCCCATTTCTTCAGGACCTTTCTAGAAAGCTGGTTTTGCTCGTGTGCCTTCTCGTGATCCTCTAATCCGGTGTATATGATCCCGAGTAGTCTTCTATCATAGGCAACTTCAACCGAATTGTGTCCTAAATGTTCTTTCATGTGTATGTCCAAAGCCTTCTGACAAAAGGGCAATGCCTCTTTGAAATTCAAAACAGCAACATATCCTCGGCCATATCCCGATTGGCTTTCCCGAGCTCTTTACTATCCCGATTAGCACATTTAAACTGCTATTCTAGAACAAATTAATCTTTCTTGTACCTCTCCCAACCTCTCTGCAAATTTATACAGGTCGTCTATCCCGGGATCAATAATCTGGTTCTTGAATACATGGCCACGTTCGAAACTAGGATGCGTAAGGCTAAACCTAACTGGGTATTAGCCCCAGCCGCAGACCGCTTAAATTATTTTGTTCATAATGCGTGTGATTCCAACGTTGATGATGGAGACGTCGCTTTTGATTTCACTAGCGCTCAAATCGTCAACTTTGCGCTCTCCATCCCAGTCACGCTGCTCGGTTTCCTTCGTGCCTGCTACCCGAACCTCATGGTTAAATATCAAACACCAGCACTATACACCCGAAATGACGACGTCGAATTCCATATGCATGGTAAACCATGCATATGGAATTCGACGTCGTCATTTCGGGTGTATAGTGCTGGTGTTTGATATTTAACCATGAGGTTCGGGTAGCAGGCACGAAGGAAACCGAGCAGCGTGACTGGGATGGAGAGCGCAAAGTTGACGATTTGAGCGCTAGTGAAATCAAAAGCGACGTCTCCATCATCAACGTTGGAATCACACGCATTATGAACAAAATAATTTAAGCGGTCTGCGGCTGGGGCTAATACCCAGTTAGGTTTAGCCTTACGCATCCTAGTTTCGAACGTGGCCATGTATTCAAGAACCAGATTATTGATCCCGGGATAGACGACCTGTATAAATTTGCAGAGAGGTTGGGAGAGGTACAAGAAAGATTAATTTGTTCTAGAATAGCAGTTTAAATGTGCTAAAAATCCTTTCTTTTTTGCTGAGTAGTATTGTAAGGACAGACAAATTGAAACGCGAGAAATGTGGGGAGCCAATAACAAGTTCATGTAAAGTAAGACTTAACCAGAGTAGTATATGTTTATAGCCCTTAACCCACAGCCAATACCTCCCAGTCCTAAAGGAAGAGGAGAATAATAACATAATAACAATATGAACTCCATACACATGAGCCAGCTACAAGCAGCAGAACCCAGCATTACAGCAATCAATAAAACAGATAACAAAAAAATAATAGAATAGACAATAATGAAGCAGAAGTACACCGGCAGGTCATCTTGCCACTGAACCATCTCGCCATAACCAATCCCTCATTGAAAAATTTGAATATAGGTTGCAAGCACCTAATCTATTATAAGCTCTTTGCATCTTTTCTTGTTTTATAAAGACAAGATAAATACCTAATCTATTATAATCTAAAAACACTGCATAGACAAAACTTAACCACAAAAACCACTAAAACAACATAATGGAGCATATTATTTACCCCATGATTCGGAAGAGGTTGGTTAGGTGTATCACGAAGATTGCGCTTCCTATTCTGTCGAAAACATGGAGCTAACGGGAGAGCTTGACGTCCAGGTGGGGGTGGAGGTGCAGGTGGTGGGGGTCCATAACGGTTCAGACGATAGAGGGCCGGATTGGGGGGGATAGGATTCGCCATTGCTTCTCTTGTCTGAGAGGAGTAGGAGGGAAAGGAGGAAGATGACGGCTAGGATGGCGATTGGATATGACTATGGCGACGGGTTCAAAAACGAGAGAGAGGGTTGATGATGAAGGTGCGATCGGTTTCTGATGGCGAGGGGATGAGGAGCGGCAGAGGCGAGAGAGAAAGAAAAGAGATCGAAGAAAAGGGTCACAAAAGCTGCGGGATTTGGTTCTGGAGGAGAGAACCGAACAAGAAAATATATATACTCTCCTTAGGTTAAACCCCTCTCGTGAAAAACCAAGGGAAAAATAATAGCTGGGCCGGTTTTGGCTTGTAGGGCCGGACAAGTTTTGGGCCGAATTTGTGGTTCAAAGAAACGGTTCTCTCGGGCTCAAAATTCGCGGTTTAATAAATTGGTTGATTTAGCCAATATAAAATGACTCGGTTCGCACGATATTTTATAACAAAAATTCGGCTATTGTAATAAAATATATTTCACACATTATTTATAATAATAATACACATTAAACATTTATTTTACAATTAGGCATTTAAATAAAATAATAATAACAATAATAATAATAATAATAATAATAATGACAATAATATAATATTAATAACAAACAATAGGTAATAATAATATTAATAAATAATAATAAATAATCCTAAAATTATCCAGTTTGGTTTATGATTTATTATTCGTGCATGTTGTCTTTATTTGATACGTTTGCATTTTTGGTTAAAGGCTTATGGGAAATTTGAGTTGCGCCCACTGAGTATTTAATTAAATTAAAGTTTGCGAAAAATTTATTGTGATTTTTATTAAATAAATTCGATAAATCCTTTAAAATAAAGTGGGGCGTTACAGTTTGGTATCAGAGACAGTCTGCGTTTCTGTAGACTGGTTTATCTATGGTTAAGTGTTTAGATTTTGAAATATGACCACTCGTCTTCATCACGCCGCGTTGCTTAAGGTATGTGTTTAAATAAGTATCAATGAAAATACTTATAATGTGAAGATGTGAAATTTTGTATTTTTACATAAGTAGCAATGAAACTACTTGTGATGTGAATGGATATATGGATATATATATCATGTAATTATTTGGGGCTTAGGAAATCTATCCACCTTCGTTTAATGTAAATTCTAGTGTTTGATGTTGAACTCTAGTGATATAGAGTTAAGTTCAGACTCTAGAAGTTCCTCGCTATGAGGTTCAATATGTTGTTATCGAGATAAGGTATGCCCATAGCAGTTTCCTTTGCTATATAATTATATTAGGTTTCTTCAAGGGAAGACCCGATCAATGAGAATCGGGAATGTATTCGCCCTCTTCGGACCTTTGCCAGGTTTCGAAAATTATGAGATGAGTCAATATCTTATAGGCTGCTATTTTTATGGATGTTCATGGCCTCTGTTCAACCTCTGGTGTCTTATGTGTTTAATGTCACTTGTGCTTTAGTAAGGGTGAGTTCATGCTAGCTCGAAGCATGGTTAGTTGAGTAAGAGATAAGGATATGTGTATATTTGATGCTCTAGCATGTTTATATGTTTCAGTTAAAAGTTAGAGATACCTCTCGAAACTTGTGATATGATGTATATGTGATCTTCGATGATTGAGGTGGAATTTATGCTTCAATGTGAATTGTTATATATTATCAAACCAAAAGATGTAATAATTCAAGTGAAAGGCATAAGACTTTATTTTTCTATCTTATTTAATAAGACCGAGTGGGAACTCGGACAACGTGTTTGATGACATTGATGTTTAAGTCTTAAAGTATTGATATTGAGGCCTTAACTTGTAACTTACGTGATTTCGAGACTATGTTGTTGTGTGATCATTTTAAGTTGATGAAGGCATGAAAATTCAATTTTTTTGAGCTTCAGTTAGGCTCTATTTTTGTCGAATAAGATGATGTTTCTTGGAAAAGTGTTCTTCATGAGATTTGTAGTACTCTGAATGAAGTTTCTGTGAGTTTTAGAATTTTGTGATTTAGAGTTGAAATGAATTTTACATGAATTTTTAAAGTTAGACAAGCATGCAGTTTTTATAAACTCAGACAGAAACTTTGACTTTAATTTATGGCTGTTTTTGATGATCTTAACGTGCCAGCATGAAAATATATTCTTCATGAATCATGTAGTACATGTTATAAGCTTTCATTAGGAGTTGAAATCATGCAATTTATAGTTTTAGTTGATTTTATATGATTTTTCTAAGTTGGATTTATGCCCTGAATTGATGTCTTTAACGTGATGATATGTAAACATTCTCTTCATGACATTTGTAGCTTTCCTTGTGTAGTTTTTGTAGGTTTTGGGTTTACATGATTTGGAGTTCTAGTTGATTTTATATAATTTTTCTAAGTGCCATGTACACCCAGTTTTTATGAAACCAAGATTTTGTTTAAGTGTTGATTATGTGCTCTGCTTAGGTGACCTAAACGTGTTCTTATGAAACAGTTTTCTTCATAAAATTTGTATATTTCCATGTGTATATTATATTGGTTTTGAGTTTGTATGAATTGAAGTTGTTTAGCTTGAGTTGTTTCAATTTTATTAAGGTGCTGTATTTTCGAACAATTGTTCTCTGACTGTTTTTACAAATTAAATGTTTTATAATCAAACTTGTTGATAATGTTATAATTTGCCAATGGGATCTTCATAGAAGTTGTAGAGAATTTAATTAGCTACCTTGGGGTTTTTGAATTTTAGTAATATCATGTCTGTAGCTTCAGTTATTGTGCATACACTGAGAATCTGTCAACCTGTAAATCTTTATTTATCCACTGCACCCATGTTTTGGATGTTTGCTGTATTATGTGCCTTTAAATGATTTATCTGCCTGAGTGTTCTTCATGAAAATGGTAGAGGCATGAGTTAGAGATATTTTTCAAGTCGTTCCATCATGATATGACCTGTAGACTGAAAGTTATATGCATTTTAAATTCAACACGCATGCTGAAAATTTGCTCGTTCATGTTTATGTTTTCCAAAATGAATTGTGAATTTTCAAAAATTAGCTTTTCGACAATTTTCATGTATATGTGCCCTATGTGTCTTAATCTGGTTGGTATTATGATGTTAGCTGGAAACACTTGCGAGAGAAGCTTTACGCTAGACCTCGAAGTGTGGAGGCTTTAGTTGTATATGTGGTCGATCTCGTTTAGGACCGCCGGCACGATTAGCTACCCGAGTAAAAGCTGTCGTGACGGCCGACATTATTAGTCGGAAGGGTCAAGCGAGCTAACCATTCTAATGTTCGGCGATGACCGCCGAGGTTAGGATTCTTCCCGGCAGTGATGCCAATGTTCGATTCCTATGGGAAATTGTAGCTCAACAGTAATGCTTGAACTGTTGTATTTTTAGAAGTATTGTAAGGAAGCCTTTTTCCTATCTGAGTATCTAGGAATCTATGGACTCAGAAATTGAAATTTCTGGTGTGTACCTTAAACTGAACGCCGAACCTGGATGGGTGTAGCCACGCGAAGTGGTGGCCGAGCCCGCACGCCCGTGCTGAGAGACGTGAGGCCAACTGCAGTGGCCGACCGTTGACTCGCACGAGAGCTGCCGCCGCCATCACCGAACGCAGGAACTCCCCAGGCAGTGTGTACGGCCAAACCTTGATCTTGCAGCTGGTCCCTGAACAGGTGCATGCACACGTCCCGGCGCCCCGCTTATGCAGCGCCTGTGTGTGTGTCATCTCTCGGGTGACAGTGCCTTAAACTCCAAACCGAATCGTTGTATGAAACCCCTAATCAACGACTCTCGATATGTGAGGCTTGTCGATTAGTTTTCCTTTGTCTTATGCGAAACTCTCTCGTAATAGCGAGATTTAGGTCCCTCATCGTTTTCGAGCAGTGTCCTGAGTCTCGATTGGAGACTATGCATACTTCGTAGGGATCGAGACCTACGAAGAGTGAGAGAGTTTTGATGTTAGATCGTTAGTATGAGAATATCGAGCATCCCTAATCGTGAGACCGATTCTGCAATAGGAGATTGTTTTCGAACATCCAGTCGATATTTCCTAAACCGCATTCGAGGTGTTATTCGAGTCGGCAAGGGAAGAGTTGTTGACAACGGTATCAAACAGAGCCGTGTGTTCTGTAGGCATCGGTGTTGAGTATATAGTGTTATTATGGATTGTTAGCCCATCCGTATGGGATTCTGTGGCGGCCTGTTTTATAAGGACGCACGGATCATGTCAGCGTAGTAATCGAGTTTTCTACCGTGACCCGGGCACGAGATGAAGCTCGATACAACAAGTCAACCCTATATGTTGATTTTGTTGGATTATGCTATTGAGACACGAAAGGACCAGTTAGGGTCTTGTGTTTTGGTAGATGAGTAGAGTGTGAGAATTCCTTACCATGTGAGGTGGCTGGTACATATATGGGTGGAGTATGCCGTTGTTCTGGTTACTGTCACGCGTACTCAGTCCTATTATGATTCTCGACCAAGTCGATGACTTAGCCTGATGGTTGACTCCACCACCGGAACTCGCGAGGATGCACGACACGTTCTGTGCCCTCTTGATGGAGGAAACGTGTGCGTGATCTCGGAGTACATGTGAGATGTGACGAGCTGCGTGATAGGCAGAACCCTACCTGTATGGAGGTACCGGTGACCTATTGGATCAGAGGGTCCAATAGGATAAGGCTGGGAGGGGTACTCGTCAAGTCTAGTGGGAGAGCGGTCAAGGCTAGGCGACTTGGGAGAGGGAGACCGAAATTCGGAGGAAGCACCTGAATTTCATGTGCTGATGTTGTCTCCTCTTATTCCTCGTTAGTTTCTCGTCGTAGTTTGTTGTTCGAATTCCGAGGACGGAATTCTTTGTAAGGTGGGTAGACTATAGCGCCCCGTTTATTTATGGATAATTTTAGGATTATTTATTATTATTTATTAATATTATTATTACCTATTGTTTGTTATTAATATTATATTATTGTCATTATTATTATTATTTTTATTATTGTTATTATTTAAATGCCTAATTGTGAAATAAATGTTTAATGTGTATTATTATTATAAATAATGTGTGAAATATATTTTATTATAATAGCCGAATTTTTGTTATAAAATATCGTGCGAACCGAGCCATTTTATATTGGCTAAATCAACCGATTTATCAAGCCAGACGGGTTCGGGTCGCATACTAAATGGGCCAAGGGTTTGAAAGATTTAAGTCGTAGGTTCGATCCAATGCATACAGTTCCCTCGGGCATGAAAACGTATAGGAGGTTTAACAGGGAAGGAGGAAAGACGCCTGTTAAAAAGCCTAGGGTTTGGGCTGTAAATGATAATTTTACTTTGGGCTTTAAATGGATAAGGTAATTACACTTATGACATACTTATTATTGTTTTCCAATTTAATCTTTCAACTAATTAAAGGAAAAAAATTACGACATCTTCCAAGCACTTTCACTTGTTTATATTTTATTTTATTATTATATTATTTTATATAACTGTTACTTGTTTATTTATTTTTATTAATCTTTTTAATTTTTCTTCCAAGATTGTCCCCGTTTTGTAATAAAATTTTGAACCGATAGTTTCACTTAATATGTTATATCTTATTATATCCATTTTTGTATTTTCTATTTCTCATTCTATATCAAGATATATCTTTCTTGTACTCATTTTATTTATTAATCGTTGGCTTGCTCTGATACCATTTTTTATATTCTGAATATAAACATTTTGTTTTCTTACTAATAAAACTCTTGTAGTAAAAAAAAAAAAATACCATTTGTAAAATATTATTTATCTGTCTTATTTATGCTAAAATCTTTTAGAAGTTAAAACAGTCTTTGAAAGAAATAATTGTGTCTTTTTCTTCTAATGTTTTTATTCTATTTTTTTTATTTTTTCAAGAATAAGCTGATTAATATTAGGTTCTTCCTTATGTTCTTCCATATGTTTTTTGATATCTTTGTTTAAGAAATCAATTAATCTAGTAAAGTTGTTTTTAACAATACTTTTCTTTTCAGAATATTTAAATTCACAATCTAATTGAGTTCTACAGTTAGAAAGAAATTCTTTTAGTATTTGTGCATCTGAAAAACTTATTTTTCTTTTAGAGATTTTTTCAGGTCTGATCTTATATACTCCTTTTTTTGAAGGCATTTATATTATTGTTTTAGGTGGCCCTATTTTATGTAATTTCTTAATTTTGCTTATATCTTTGTACTAGTACAACACCCGTGTATTACACGGGTGCTTGTTAAAAAAATATTCTAAAATTTTAAAATTAATGAGAAAAATTATTTTAAAATTTATTTATTTTTTTACATAAAATATTATTATATATTTAGAATGACATTTGTTACTTGTGCGACTTACATGTGTTATATTATAGTAAATTTTGTAACCTATATCATATAACTACTTGAAATATAAATATATTAGTTGATAAATTTTATTTTTCTAATTAATTTTAAAAACAATTTTATTATTATATAAAGATAAATATAATTTATTTTTTTATACATACAATATAGATGTTAAATCGAAGCTCATCAAGAGATGATTAATTTGATATATTATATATGTAAAACTGATAAAAAATACGAAAATTATTGACTTTTAAAATATATTTACAATTCAATGGTTATAATAAGAAATTATATTAATATGCAATTAATACATGTAACATGACCATAAATAATCAATATATTTATGGATAGTCCGAACTTAATTATTTTTTGATTGAAAATAAATTAAAATCTACCCAAACCTAATAACAACGAAGCATGTAATTTTGCCACATATGATCCCGAAGCATGCAAGCTTGCCACTTAGGCTCAGCATTTTCTGCATTAATATATAGGGGAGATATCATAATCTAGTTGTTTTAATTTTTTTTTTATTTTTTTCTATATATTTATATTGAATTAATTTTTCTATTAAATAATCTACTTCCTTGATTTCCCTTCTTTTTAATTCAGCTAATTCAAGGTTTATATCTCTTCTATCCATTATTATAAATTCTATATTTTGTTATTTAAATTTATTACTAATGAGCTTCACTCATTTACCTGTTTATTTAATTTTTCTATTTCTATGTTCTCTTTATATAAACTGCTACTACTATGAGGTTCTTCAATTTCTTGTATTTTTAATAAATTCTTTTCAGTTAGTTTTCCTAAATTTGTAGGATATCAATCTACTATATATGTTCTTTTAAAAATTCCTTTTGGATTCTATCGTTCTTAATAATAGTACTGGTTTCATTGAATATTTTTTCTGTATATATTCTTTTTCGATTTTGATAATTCATACTTAAACTACTATTACTTAGTGCATAACTTATTCTATAACAAACAATCATAGGTATATCTCCTGATTCCATTAATATTTTTTTCTTGAAAATTACATATTGCAGTTATTAATTTACTTGATTGATAATAGTATAGGAAATTGTAATGATATATTGAACTTAATTACTCTATACCTTAAATCTCCTTCTATTTCTCCTAATTTTCTTGATTCTTTATGCATTATTCTCCATTCATTATTCTGTAATGTATTATATTTTTTCTATTGAATTTTCTAGTATACCATTATTTATTCCTTCTCTCTTTTATAAATCTAAATTTCTTTTATTCTTTACTTTTGTCTATCACCTCAGGTACTGATATTAAGTCAAAGCTGTAAGAAGTGCAAAGAGAATAATGTACAGTTTACCATTCTTTTCATTTATACTTGAAAATCAAGCACAAATTCTATGGCGCTATGAAAAAAAAAATTAGCCAAATGGTTACTACAACATCTATATATTGCCATCTATCAATTGGTGAAAGGAAAATGTAAATATCTTCTTCACATAAGTCTCAAATCTGACTTGTTAAAATGTATGTCTCCAATTGCTCTAGATACAACCAACAGACCATTGACTCGAGCTACACCAGCCCACTCCGTGATATTGCCTCCAGCAGATTCAACCCGGGATTTTCGTCATGTCTATAAGGATGGTGATCGTTTGTCAGTTTCTTGGTAAATAAATATGTCAATCCATTAGACGCCATCGACTTCAAGTGATGGTACTCCTTCAAGGATGAGGAAACACCATCAGCTCTTTTGTCCCTAGCTACCCTACAGACAGTTGCTGCATTTAGCAAAACCATGCATCAATAAAACATATAAGAAGCCATCCATAAGAAGCGAAGGTTCGCCTCCACCTCAATGCATAAAATCTTAGTCGCACATGAACAGACTATTATCTAATCCCTCAAGATTAAAAAATAGAGCACAAAATTGCAGGCTGATTTTCATGCCTCATAGCTGGATGATGAGGCGTGAAAAGGTTTGAGCTTTAGCCTCCGATAGAAACAGATATATTACAGAACACAAAGAATGCCTTTCGATCGCCTAAATTAGCAACAAGCATTTGATTATCAGCTAGAAGTACAACTACAACTGTTGCTGTAGTGCCATAATTGATGTTGTATTTGGAAGCATCCTTCACTATGTAAATATTCTCATCAGTACAGATAATAAAGCAAGTATAATACATCATCAAGTACATAAATTTCACCTTACAAAATGATGCATCAATATCACGGTTTGCGCTTAACAATGCTTCCTTCGATAACTTAAAGGGGAAAGATTCATCGAAAATAGCTGACAGCACAGCGCCATCTTGAACCTACATAAAAGTCTTAGTTCCAAAAACACATGTGTGAACCCCAATGACGTACAACATATAACAAAAACTCAAATATACGGAAATAAGGGAAAAAATGTAGCATCTGGTTTTGGACATGTATTTTCTTAGAAAAGAAATGATCTAACTAAACAAAATAACAAATTAGGAAATAATGATAGTTGGTAATTAGGAAACAATCAATTAGCAAGTGGAATATCAAAGGCTTGTTGTCCAATTTATGAAAAAAAATGAAATAATCATATCTTAATTGCATGTTTCATCACCAGAACTGTAACCCAGAACTCTAATCCAGAAATGGTTACCAACATAATGTAGAAAATATTATATCCAGGTAAAAGAACAATAATAAGAACTGCCATTAATTTCAACACGGTTTAAACTAAAAAACTCTAAGCTTGTGAAGAGAGAATAATGTCAACTCACAACGACCATTGAATACTAATGAAATAATAGTAACAATAATAATAAGAAGAAAAAGGTATAGGTGTTGCTTCACCTCCCATTTTTCTCTGAATGCTTCTCGTAACATTCCCCAACTAAACTAAAAAAAACTCTAATGACTAAGTACACAATATATAATTTAATTATCTTACATTGTAAAGGAAAGAAGGAGCAAGGCTTGGCAATACACAACAAGCAATATCCGTAAACGCAATATCCATAAAGCTCTTATACCATTGATTTTTTTCTTTTTTTTTTCCCCAAATAATCAAAAGCTGGTACATCGAAGGTGAGAATTGCAGATTAAAAATAGACTGAGTTTGGCCACTTACACAAGAGTTCTTTAATTAAGAACATGGAAATGCGTATTGGATAAGATCACATTGCCTTCAATTTTTTCAAATATTCGTTAAACATAGCATAAACCGCCCAAAAAATAACATGAAGTGTCTAATATCAAACATTTGTACTGACATTGATGGTTTGTGCTATACCGCTTGAACCTCGAAGGCAATCTCCGCCTCTCCTTCCTGACGACATCAAGCATATCGTCGATTAGCTCCGCTCCTCGGTGTAGTGCCCCTTGTACGCACCAGTTACCTGGATGTCTCCCTCTCCCTAAATGGAAAAATACTCCCATCATTTTTTTGACTGTGACCACCAGAACAGGTCACAAGAACATTACTTTGAGAATAACAGCAAAAGAAATAATGTTAATTGTTAGGTACTAACATTGATTGAAATACCCCTCAATAGTATCATTAGCGTCCAATTCTAGTAGAAAAAACATGCGCACAAATGTGTTTACAACAAACCTCTTAAGATGACCAAGACGTCAGAATTAACAATTAGAAGAGCAAGAATCAACTTCTGTTAATTTAATAACCTTCAGATAACAGAATGCACAGAACTTGTTAATTCACAAAAGGCAGAGGAAAATAAAAGAATGAACCTTAAGCCCAAGTAATTTGATGAGCGTAGCTACTCCTGGCACAATGCAACTGGATCTACATGTTGAACAATTACCATCCAAAATGCAGTTCAATCCCATAATTAAAATGACAATGGGTTCATAACTACTGCAACTTAAGAACATCAAAGTGAGGACCAATGAGTTGCAGCTTTTCATTCAGTGTCCAAATAATCTTAACAAATAGTAACAGTAGAAGCCACAGAAAATAACTTTATGCTTCCAAACATTCATCTACGACCATATTACAATTAGTTCCATACCAGATCGAAAAAGAAAATAAAAAAGGAGGAAAATCAACTCGATTAAGCAAAAATTGAAAAAACCCAAATGAATAAGGATATAGTGGAAACCGACATGAAAACTATCGAAAAAGGCATCAGGATTTGTGAAATTTAAATCTGAAATACGCAAAAAGGCTAGATGTATACCTGATAAGCTAGTTCCCTAGTACGACATAGAACAAGAGCCGCAAATTGACCTGGAATGGGTTCAATCTGCTGCAACGTCGAAAGAACAAACACAGCAGTTTTCCCCATACCAGCCTTGGCTTGGCAAATAACATCCATCCCAAGAATTTCTTGAGGAATGCACTCGTGTTGAACTGATGAAGAACCAAAGAAATTGAACCAAGGAACCCTCAGTTTCAATTAAAAAAGGATTTACCATTCAACTTCTCCGAGGTAGAGTGATAGTATTGATATACCTGGGGAAGTACACCAAGTCGTAAGTCACCATACCACATAGGATAATTAACTTAAGAAAACAAAGAACATAACGGAAGATTAATTAATAAGCATAGGATGATTCTTGCCATAATTTTTTTTCTTTGTGATAACAGTGACAACAAAGCT